GTGGCTCGCGAGCCACCACTTGTTCATGCCTGGTTTAGAACACCTCTTTTCTTTCGACCTGTTCGAGCGCCGTGCAATCGATACCTTTTGTTTTGGAGCACAAATGAAGAGGGACGATTTAGGGGATTTGTAAATCATACGACAAGTTGGGCCCACGTTTGACAAGAAAATACAACGTAAGAAGAAAAATAAATTTTGTTTTTGTCATAAAAGGTGATTACGGTAATAAGAACTATAGCAATCCAATGCTTACATAAAAAAATAACAAGCACACAAAATTTAAAAGCAAGCAAATATTACTCGTGATAAAATCTCGCGAATAATATTTGGCAAATTATTTTATTTATGCAGTCATGCTCATGATTTTGCTTTACGCGCACGTTATTTTAAAAGAAATATAATCCGAAAAGTGCAGACTCTGCACGAAATAACAAATCGAAAGTCCATTAAGCTAATGGAAAATATTACGGTGTAAATTGATTGATCCATTGTTCGTTCCAATAAAGTATCATTTATTTTGTATTATGAATATTGACAAAATGATTACGCACTCATTTTCATTAGAGTTTTAACTTGAAATTGGTGTAGCACGAGTGCCATTTTGCAATAACACTTACCCGCTCGCGTAACGCGCTCTCGCGAGCGCCATTATCCATCACCGGTTTGGGAGATAATTGTGTGGTTCAGTTCAAATGGGACATCCTATAATTGCATTTTAAATGGCTAATTAAATTATGCTATAAATTTTCATTTTCTCCGAAAACCATCGCGTTACTTATGTACCCGGCATCGTCGTTTAAATTCGATGGGTTTTTGGTACATTGCCATGGTACCTCTTTACTTCTTTTTTTATCCCGCATCCCTGTCATTGATATATCGCTCGCATCCGAATCGCGCAAACGTGATTTATGCTGCTTATTGCGCAAGAAAGATAGCGAGGCAGTTCCCGAAACGACTTGGTACGCGAGCACGTCTCGCGAACGGGGTCATCACACGAACCTAAACTCTCCAATCGCATAATGGATTCCCTCGTACATCTTTGAGCTTAGTCGAACGTGAACGAACCAAGAACGAGACGAACTTATGCGAATTACTACCAGTACCATCGAATCCATCGTGCGCAAAAAGTAACTTACAGAAGTTCCACCCTTTTTTGCGTTCGCGTATGATAAATGATGGCCTACTTTCGGAAAAGCAATTAATGCATCGTCAATTTGATCGATATATGAAAAAGTAGAAATATATTGGCAAAATCAATACGTATGAAATTTAACTGTTAT